CCCAGGAAACCTGCTCAGGTTGTGACCCATCGCTAGGGGAGGCCCGCGCTGGGCTGAGCATTTGAATTTTTCTTACCCACGTATCCTGACTCTCGATCTCCATTTCGGGGCTTGCTTTTCGCGATGGTAAATCGGGTTGTTTAAATTTCACAGCATATACAACATTTAAAACACGGGAATGCGTACTGCAACACCCGCACATTATCTTTAACAGTGACAGTGCGTGAGTTTTGCTGAGTACGTAACTGCCCTTTTCTGGCAGCTCCGCTGTTCTTCCCCACTTTTCTAGTTGCACGATTTAAATGTATGCAGTCAGGAAACCGCACCGTTAAGAAATATTAATACAATAAAATGAGAGTTAAGTTTTGCAGCGGAGGAAACCGAACCACGTTGGTCGCGGTAATTGTCCCCGGAGGGCATGACTCTGGGGAAAATGCTCTCGCTTGGTCTCTCTGCCCCCCACTGGAGGGGACCCTGAGCTCTGGAGGTGGGGTGAGCGGTAATCACTGGGTGTCCCAGGCCGAGGCTGGAGTCGCCTGCGTGGCCAGGGCGTGGCTGCCCTTCTGGCTCCCTGGGGTCCCTAGGAGCAGACGCTGTCGGCGATGTCGAGGGAGGACAGTCAAGCAGCGAGCCGCCCCACACTGCCGCTGCCGCTGCAGTTCACCCCCACGGGGTCTGCCTTGTCCTTCTCCAGCCGCTTCCGGTCCCCGGCACCACCTCCGTGTCTATGCAAATTCTCCCGCCCTGGGGCCTGAGGCCGCTCGGAGGAGTGCGCGGGGCGGGGCGGCGGCCCAGCCTCGGCATCGGACAACGTGCGCTGCTTCCTCACGCTCTGCATTTAAGGTCGTGAGCTCGTTCTTCTTACCGTGGAGAACGCCGCCTCCTCCGTGAACGCCCCCAGCCCCGCCCCTCTGCTGCGCCCTAATCCTCCGGCTTCTGCTTTCTCAGCCATAAGTTCGGGAAGAAGGTCACCTACTTCAGCTCGCTGAGAGAGCTCCGCGAGCACCTGCAGTGCGACCAGCTGCCCGTCCCCCTGGAGGTGCTGCGGTGAGTGGCCCGCCGGCCCGCCCCTCGGGCCAAGGCTTCGCCTCTGACCCTGCACTGGGCTGCTTGCAGCTCAGCAGTCCGTGGTTTCCGCCCAGCAAAGTGCTGATGCAGGCACAGGGACCTCGAGGCTGTATTTTCCTCGTGGCAGAAATGATTGAAAACTCCAGGCGGAGCTGGCAGCTGCTGCTCACCAGCTCTGTTTGCTGTTTTCTGCTTCTGAGCAAGGAATCGGGGAAGTTTCTCGGGCCTGTGGCTCCCGCCCTGTGTGCAGTGAGGTCTTCCAGGCGCTACTATTGTGGCTCTCCCCGAAAACAACCCTTCCTGAGTCTCAAGCTCTTTGCTGGAAGCTTTATTCAGGATGGGGGGGGGGGGCGGCAGCTGAGCAGGTCATGGCCCTGGCCACACAGCCTGGGCTGGGTGGGCCAAGTTCTGCAGGTCTCCTGGGCCCCCTCTGCACCCACTTCCCTGCTGGGAGCCAGCAGGGCTCTCGAAGGATGTTTGAAGGGAGTGGCGTCCCCTCTGGACACCAACAGACACGATAAGCACATGGAAGTGTGGGCTGCGTGGTCCCCACCCTCAGCATACTCCCAGGCTAGTAGGGGCCGCAAGTCAGTAACAGTGGAGCAGCAGGAGGCTTTGAGTACAGCAGGGTCATAGAGGAAATCCTGGAAGGCTTCCAGGAAGCGCAGAGTCTCACAGCACATTTCAGAGGGACAGCAGGCCAGGCTGAGAGGTGAGAGGGAGATTTCCACGGAAGTGGGAAAGCGTGGGATCAAGCAGAGCATCTCGCTCCTAGGAAGGGGTCCTTGAGTGGGAACAGGCCTCTGGTGGTACTGAGGGGACCCATGGACCCCTGGGGTCTTGATGAAACCCGCCCAGGATGCACTACAGTAACATGGGATGAGCGTTTGGGGAACTTTTTGGGGAGAACGATCAGATGTGGTGACCAAGGCCAATCCGGTGAGGGTGCCAGTGGTGACATTGAGATCACAGGTCCTGTAGGCCAGCAGGGATGAGGTCAGGAGGGGCTGGGCTCATGTATCAGGCCGCAAACCCGACCTGTGGTAGGGGCTCAGAGGCAGCACCTCATCCACACCCCAGTAGTGCAGGAGACCCGGACAAGGGGAGGACAGAGGTCACTGTTGGAGTCAGCGCTGTGACCCAGCTCCTACGAAGGGGTGGGGGCCCGGACCCAGCCTAGCCTCTGTTTCCCTATCTGCCCTATTTGCTGTGATGGGTCACAGTTGTTGGCTTCTACATGGCTCCCGGGCAGTGGGGCATTTCGAGGGTGGGGTGTGTGTGTGTGTGTGTGTGTGTGTGTGTGTGTGTGTGTGTACATGAGAGAGATTGCCCTCTCCCCAGGATGAGACACACAGGTATCGCCGCTATCCAGAAGCAGCCCCTTCCCACATGCCACCTGGAGTGGCCACATGCCTGCACGAGCTGTGACCCTGTCTTTGTCACATCGCAGGTACGACGAGAAGCTCCGCAGCCTGCACGAGGGCGGGCCGCCCCCCTCTACCAAGACACCTCCGCCACGGCCACCCCTGCCCACACAGCAGTTCGGTGTCAGCCTGCAATAGTAAGTGAGCCTGGGCCATGGGCCCCAGCAGCCCGGCTTAACGCATGAGAAAACCTCACCCCAACCCGAACCCACTGGGGCCAAACGCTTGGACCCAGCAGCTGTAGGCGGAGGTTGGGTCTCTGCCCTCCAGGCTGGTCGGTCAGTCACTGTGTCGTCCTCCCAGTGTCAGGGACATGGGACCCCCTCTGTCTCAAGCTGTGTGCACCATCAGAGCTTGCTGGCCCTGAGTTGTCAGGAGACACAAGGCCTCTGTTGTCACTGTCACCGTGCCGAAGCCCATGCCTCTTCTAGGGCTGCTTGCTGCTCTTCAAATCCAGTTCACTAAACAGATAGAGCTGGAGCCAGAGGTGATGGTAATCCCATCACTTGGGGAGGCTGAGGCAGGAGGATCACAAATTCCAGCCCAGTCTGAGCTACCCAGGGACTTAGTGAGACCCTGCATCAAAATTAAAAAGTAAAGATGAGCTGGGGAGATAGCTCTCTGGTCTAAGCACCTGCCTGGGAAGTGCAAGGGCCGGGGTTGATCCCTGGTACCGCATGCCGTGCCAGTCCCAGCCACTGAAACCAGGCATGGTGGCACATACCTGTCATCCCAGCACTGGGAGGCTGAGACAGGAGCATCAGTATGAATCTGAGCTGCATAGTGAGGCCCTGCTGAAAGACTTAAAAAACATTTAAAATAAAGATGGCCAGGGATATAGCTTGGTAGGAAGGCCCTGGGCTTGATCCCTAGCACCGCCAAAAATAAAATAAAATAAAACCTAGCTGGGGTTTGCCGAAGCTTGCTGGAGACGCTGCTTCGTGTGCATCAGCTCCAGGGTTCCATGCCCAGAACGGAAAGGAAACCAAAATCAAACTAGTTCATTATGTCTTTAGGGAACTGTGGGAAGCGTCGGGTAGCAGTGGAAGTGCACCCTGCGCGCACCACTCAGACAGAATCTGTGCGATCGCCCCTTTAAATTAATATTTTATGCCGTTTCACTGCCAATGACTATAATAAAATGGCAATAAGCATATTAAATAAAGCACCCGAGATGTAATTTGTTTGGACTGTGAATGAATGAAAGTCATTGAAATTCATAACCGAGCCCTATTCACAATGTTAATTTGCTGGGCGAAGTTCAAAAGCGTCCAACAGAATGCCGCTGCCTTGGAGCAAGAGAACGGCCTCCGTGCAGGACAGAGGCCCGAGGGGTCTCGCCTGCCGCCTGTCCCCAGGGGCAGCCTTGTCCCCTCGGGGCAGCTGTGGGGCCCCAAGAAGTAGACAGACCTCCTTACATGTGTGGGGGTGACGTCCCAGCTCTGGTACTCTGCAGCTTCAGGAAGCCCCACTGGTCCCTTGCTTCTTGTCCCTGTTCTTTTCGCTGTAACGGGAGGCCAAATCCCATCCTCCTCCCCTTTGGGGTCCTGGGACCAACCGTGGCACATGAGGAGAGCCTGCGCAGTCCTGCACCCGGCCTCTCCACCTGCTTCTGCACGCCTCTTCCTGGAAGCCTTCCGCACTGGCTGCACACAGCCGGGCATCCCCACGACCAAGAAGTTCAGGCACCACTCAGTGACTGCATGGGGACTGTCCTACAAATAGGGCCAGCCCTGTCCTGCCCCGGGATTACCTTCCCTCTTTTGCAGGCTAAGAGGGAGGTCACTGCCATCACCCCCTCCAAGAAACCAAACCTACTAACAGCCCCTGCCGAGCCCCAGTCTCCCCTATGCCCCCAGCTCTGCCTGTTCCAGGCCTTGGGGACTCTCACACCACTGACCATGCTGAGCCTTACTCTCTTGTCTAGCATCGTATTTTCAAGGCATGCCCATGGCATGACTGACAGCTCCCTGCTGTGTAGACAGACAGGGTTCCATTTGTACATCAGTTGATAAATGCACGGCGGCTGGTGATTATGGGCAGCACCACTATGAACACCCACGTACAAGACTTCTTTCCTCTGCCCCGGGGCTACTCACTCTGTGTGACCCTTGGGGATCTCCAAGTTGCGTTCTGTTTCCCGTTCCCACTGGTGAGAAATGAGTGAGCTCATTTCCCCACGTTGTCACCAGCACTTGTTATGATTTCCCTTTTTTATTCCGGGTCTGGGCGTGGGGGTGACAGTGGTTTATGGGTGTTTTGATTTGTGTATCCCTCACGTGCTTGTGGCTATTTGTGTATCTAGATCTTTTTTTTTTTTTTTTTTTTTTTTTTTTGAGACAGGGTCTCACTCTGCCACTCAGGGTGGCCTTGAGCTCACTTTGTAGTCCAGGCTGGTCCGGAACTCACAGCGATCCTCCTGCCTCAGCCTCCCAAGTGCTGGGATTACAGACATGCACCCAGCTTGTGTCTAGCTTCTTTATCCACTGCTTGTGTTGTTTGTGCTGGGCAGAGTTCCTAGGGTCACTCAGGCGAAGTCCTTTCCTTTTTTTTTTTTTCTTTCTTCTTTCAAGATTTTATTTTTATTTATTTTATTTTATTTTTATTTTTGGCGGAACCAGGGATTGAACTCAGGCCCTTGCGCTTGCCAGGCAAGCGCTTATTCTACGAGCCATCTCCCCGGCCCTCCCCCCTTTCAACATAGTGCTGGATTTGCTTGCTAGTATTCTGAGTCACCGGAGATACTCACCTCTCGTCTTGTCCTGTGACTTTTGTCTAGCTTAGACAATCAGCCCCTCGTGGAAAGGGCTGGAAGGTCTCCTTCCTCTCCTAGTTTTTGGAAGAGTTTGTCTCTTTAAACGTTAGCATACACCAGTGAAACCATTCAGTCCTCGGGCTTTCCTTTGCAGATAGTTCTTTCTTTATTTGCTTTATCTATTCAGATTTTACTTCTCCTAAGTGAGTTCCAGTGGCTTTTAAGTTTGCATCTTCCAGGAATCTAGCCATGCGCTCTAGGTTTTCTAACGGCTGGCCCACAGTTATTCATCTTATTCCTTCTGTAATGTAACTAGCAGTACCTCCTCTTTCATTTGTGATATTACTTTCTTTTGCCTCTTTGTTTTGGGTCTTACTGTGCAGCCTAAGCTGGCCCCCGACTCCTGGCAGTCCTCCAGCCTCAGCCTCCAAGTGCTGGGGTTGCAGCCCGGACCCCGCTTCAGAAGGATGCAAGAACCTCCCCCCGCCCCGTGCTGTTCCTGGTACACAGATTTCACCTGCATTGCGTGCCCAGCGCCCAGTCATGCAACTCCTGCTCTGAGCAGTGGGCTTTTAAGTCACGCAGCGGAGGGAAAGGAGAATTGCAAGGGTGCTCCTGGGTTTGCGTGCTCTTTAGGAGGTGAAGGGCTGGCGAGGTGAGGAAGGGAGAAGGGGGCTGCTCAGGTTGTCCACTCCAGGGAGAGTCCGCCTGGGGTGCTGTGCTCCCTGTTTCTCTCTGTGAGAAAGTGCGAACCAAGATGCCGGCTACCAGCGAGCAGTCCTGGGTCCCCTCCCCTGGAACCACCGCTGGATGGCCCCTGATGTGCCAGGACCGTGTGCCGTACTGTGGCTCCAGTGTCCCTGGGCCCATGTGTGGGGACTCGGGTTCCCGTGTGGCTGCACTGGGAGGCCTGCGGGTCACCAGGTGCCATTCTCACCTTGGGTTAATGCTGTGCCCCTCGGAGCGGGATCCTGGCCCCCAGAACAGGCGGCTGCCGAGCAGGCCTGCCCCGAGGGCAGCAGTGGGAGCCTTTCGGAGCGCTCAGTTATACAGAGGTCCCACTGTGGCATGCATTCCTCTAAGCTATGTGACTGCAGGTCCCACACTGCCTCTCTGAGCTGACATCTGTGGACTGGGGCGCGATCGTGCCGTGAGTGGTTGGTCCTTAGCTTGCTTGCACACAGTAAGACCTCAGCTTGCCAAGCTGGGCTCTGCTCTGTGGATGCCGTCACACTGTGCGCCCCAGCTGTGGCCAGCAGTTGGAGGTACACTCTTGGGACACTGTCCCCCAAGGGCGAGGACCTTGGTTTTGTGATCAGCCTGAGGAGGACACCAGGTGGTCCTGCGTCGGCTTTTATTCTTATTTTATTTTTGTGTGACGGAATCTCACTATGGAGCCCTGCCTGGGCTTTAACTCACAGTGATCCTCCTGCCTCAGTCTCCTGAGGGCTAGGATCACAGGCGTGACCGCTGTGCCGGAACTAGGATCCCCTTTCCCATGTGGGCTCCGTGGTGCGCCCGGGCCAGCCAGGGCTCAGCCCACCCGTGTCTCGACACCCGACACACATGGGGGAGGTGGCTCGGCCATGCTGCTCGGCCACCCCAGACAGGGTGAGAGTCCTGTCTGCTCATGTCCTGCCCAGGGTCAGCATGCAGGAGGTGACACGAGGCGGGGACACGTTCACCCGTCAGCAGCCCCTCCGGCGTCCTGCCCTCACATCTGCCTTTCGTTGCCCCTGCTTCCTGGATCTTGGCTGGGCCTCTGTCAAGTATGCGTTTAGCTGAGGTCTCCGGGGTTCTCCTGTGAGGTCACATCTTGCTCCCGGCCCTCCCCGGAGCATTTCCCTGTGGGGACCTTCCTTCCCTCTTGTCTTCTGGCAGGCTCCTGCTTACCGCTCAAAACTCCACTCCAAAGTCACCCTCTAGGGAAGCCTTCCACTCCTCTTATCCTTGTCCCATATTCAGGGATGGCGTCCTGATGCTGGGGTGTCACTGTCATTGTTTCAGTCTCTCTTTTGGCCACTGCTTGGGGACGGAGGCTCTTCTTTCCCTTGGACAGCTCCTTATGCTCTTCAAGCCTGGAATAAGCTGCCATTTTCTTCTCTCTCCCCTCCAGCCTCAAAGACAAAAATCAAGGTGAGCTCATCCCCCCGGTGCTGAGGCTCACCGTGACGTACCTTCGAGAGAAAGGTGAGGGCTGGGGGTGCCCATCCAGGGAGGTCCATGCTCAGGCCTTGGGAATGGTTCAGAGGCGGGCAGGAGGAGCCAGCGGCCGCCGCCAAGGCCGAGACGCAGGGCTCTGCAGGTCCCGGGCCACAGTGCGCCGATAGCTGTGGGCGCTGGCGCTCCGCTGCGGGCCACGGTTGCTGTGATCGTAAAGCATGCTATGAGCAGGATGCAGCCATCCCAGCGCCCTGAGAGGCTGAGGCAGGAGCGTCACCAGCTGGCCTGGTTTCAGTGCCTCTCTGTGCTCTGGGGAAGAAGGAGATGGAGGAGGCTGAGAGGGATTTAAGAGGCCTGGGAGAAGGCGGGGATGAGGAGAGATGGGAGCTGACGGTCGGTCGTGCGCTGCCAGTCCCTGGGGCACAGAGCTTCCTGCAGCCCTGGGTGCTGGCACCGAGCCGCGGGCTCCCTCCCCGCAGGGCTGCACACCGAGGGCCTGTTCCGGAGGTCGGCCAGTGCTCAGACCGTTCGCCTGGTGCAGCGACTCCTGGACCAAGGTCAGTCTGCCCGGCCCGCTTCCTCGCTTCACCCCAGTGGACAAGGGACACATGACACTGGTAGAGGGGAATTCGCTGCATGGGCCTTCATAGGCAGCCCCCACCCCTTGTAGCCGGGAGAGGCGCCCCCAACCTATGGTGCTGTCACTCAGTGTCACTCATCAAATGCAAGGGCCACAGGACGATTGTGTTCCGGGCCTGTACTGAGGGACTCCAAGAGCCAGGTCTCTGGCCTCAGTGAGCTCACACCCGGGTCAGGGGCAGGGCCACCTGCAAGGGGATCAGTACCCATCTCCCCCACCCCCACCACCACTCCCCCACACCTGTACAGTCTGAGGCACTTGGGAAGGGGCAAAGAGGCTTGGCTGGCAGGAAGGAGCACCCTGTCTCCAGTGCGGAAGGATTGTCCCCAGACCCTGGGCTTCCCCAGGGCAGCCCCAGGGTGCCCAGGTCTGCCCGGCCCTCAGCTGTATCCCGTCTGCATGCAGGGAAGCCTGTGAACTTCGACGACTACGGGGATATCCACGTCCCGGCTGTGATCCTGAAGACCTTCCTGCGGGAGCTGCCCCAGCCACTGCTTACCTTCGAGGCCTACGAGCGGGTCATGGGCATCACCAGTGGGTGCCTGGAGGGGGTGGTGTCGAGGGCTGGCCCCTGGCACTGGCTGCATCAGGATCTAGTGTGGCCAAGATGGCACCTGTAGGCGGGATGGGGGAGGGGGCTTCGGGGCTGTCGCCACTACACAGCAGGTGGAAGGAGGGCGTCTGCAGAGTGGGGGCTCCTCATCAGGTCAGAGAGCCTCTGCCTGCCCCTGGGGGCCACAGGAGTCGCCACCCCCGCAGTCTCCCTACTTACACATGAGTGGACTGCGTGGGGCTTGAAGGTGCAGCCTGGTGGTGGAGCGTGGGCTCACGTGACCATGGCTCAGTCTGGTGGCTCTGTGGGGGCCTCTCGGTCCCTGTACATGGTCATATCTGATGGGCAGCTCCAGCCGGCTGCTCTTGGAGCACCAGAATTTTCTGTGTTGCTTGTTTGTCACATTGTTTGGAGCCTGGAGTGGAACACTGGCCTCATCCTTGCTAGGCAAGCATGCACCACGGAGCCACACTTTACTCACCAGGCTTTTCCCCTGCTGAGCCGTCAGGATGAAGGCTTCCAACGGGCATGTGGCCCACATCCTGCCCCAGGGAAGGGGCCTGGGCCTCTTGCCTGTAAACTTCAGTTTCCTCAGGGGTGGTGTTTTAATTCCTCTGAGACCCATAGCCAGCATCCACAACACTAACGAGAGGTTTATGTTGGCTCATGGTTTATAGAGGTTTTAGTGCACAACTCCCTGGCTCCAAGGCAGGGTGGCATCCTAAGAGAAACAGCTCATGGCAGGCAGGCAGGCAGGAAGCAGAGGGGGATCAAGGAGGGAGCAGCCCCCTACTTCCTGGCCACGCCCCCGGAACCTGCCTCCTCACCAGGCTCCACCTCCCAACCTCACATTTTGGTCTGAACTGTTTATCAGTGGACTCTTCCAGTGATGCGTATGACACCTGCATGATTCCATCTGCTCCCTGAAGTCCCACCTAGGAGTGCGTGAGGCTTTGGGGCAACATCCAGATAGCAAACTACAATAGATAGGGAAGGTTATGGTGCTCTAAACGAGGTTAGGGTGACTCAGGTCAGGGCCTACATTCCACAAGCACCAGCCCTTGGTCAGAAGGGGACTGTCCCACACTGCACGGATGAGGGGGCCACCTCGGTGTGGGCGGGGCCCGGATGCTGGGCAGAGTGGAGCCGGTTGGCCTCGTGGAGGTGGATCTGACGTGGGCAGGCAGGGTGGGCAGCCACGCTGTCATCCGGGCACGCTGGCCTCCGTCCTAGAGAGAAGTTTCCACCTCCATAGGCCCTGGAGTTCGGCCTGGGAAGCTCAGCGCCACCAGCAAAGTTGACCGCTAGTACCTCAGTGGGGCAGTTACATGGAGGCCCCAGGACAGGTCACTGCCTTCCCCAAGAGCAGCATGACACGGAGGATCCTGGGCTAAGAACCGTTACAGGAAAAGTCAGTCCAGAGCAGGCCCAGCAAGCTGTTCCTGGAACGGCCCAGAAGTGTCTCAGAGACACAGCGTCAGGGAGTGGCTACATCTGTGTCCCAGTAAAACTCCACAGACAAAAGCAGGTGCCGGGCAGGTGTGGGCGTGGATGCAGCTTTCTGACCCCAGGTCCAGACCTTCCTGTTTAGAAAGTGCTCGGCCTCCCTCCCCCGAGGCAGCAGTTACCCTGCCACCGCAGGGGTGAGGAAGGAAGCAGCCAGCTGGGAGCCACCAGGAGCAGGGCTGGGCTGTCCTGTGCTGCCCTTGGCTGCTGCCGGGTCAAGGGAGGCTGCTCACCATGGGGGAAAAGAAAAAGGACTTTATTCAGAGCTGGCCCCAAGGACCCCAAGGGCCTCCACTGCCCTTCTCCCTGTGTACAGCTATCAGGGTCCTTGTCATTGGGCGTGTCCAGGCCTGCCCCACACCTCCCAGACAGGAGCCTCCTCCTGCCTTCCCTGGACCTCAGGCCAGCACTTGGGTATTCTCTCCGCTGGCCTGGGTGGGGGTGGGGGTTTATGTCTGAGGCCTGAGGAAGCTTGGAAAAGCCACTGTTCTCCAAAGGAGAAAACAGAAGGCCTCAGTTTGGCCGGCTGCTCGCCCACAGCGCTGCGCCCCTGAGCCCATGCTGGCCCAGGGCGCCATGTGCCCGGCCCCTCTGCGCCAGCTCAGGGGAGCCTTGCCTTGCAGATGTGGAGAGCAGCCTGCGTGTCACCCACTGCCGCCAGATCCTGCGGAGCCTCCCTGAACACAACTACGCTGTCCTTCGCTACCTCGTGGCCTTCCTGCACGCGGTGAGTGGCTCCCGCCCCCCACTGCCTGCCAGCCTGGGGTCACACCCTCTCGACACCAGCAGAGGACTGAGGCAGTGGGGACACCTCTGTCCCATTCCTGTCCCGATCCCCTGAGGCTCCTAGCTTGGATTTTGTATCAAAGCAAGGAGAGAACAAATAGTCTTCAGATGGTTCCTGATGGGCCCTGCCTTGCCTGGCTGCACTGTCTGGACATACCTGGGGCATTCCCTGCCCCAGTTTCCCCATGAGTAAAGAATTCTGGCTCTTGAGGTTACTGAGGCAGCTGGAACAGATGGGGAGCCCCTCAAGAGGGTGGGGAACTTCACACACCTACCTATCACCCTCCCAAGGAACCTCTGCTAGCTGGCCTCAGGAGTCCTCGGGTACCAACCCTATTCTGGGGGTCAGAGGTCATCCTGCCCAGACCCACTATGCTGGTGTGTGGGGCCTCCTAAGCCAGTGAAAGCAGAAGGGAGAGGGAAGGGTGTGAAGGAGACCCCAGGAAGCAGATTATAGGTCAGAGCTGGAGGGTGAGGGAGGGTGTCTCCCAGATCATCGAGGCCTAGCCCTTCTTTTACAAGTATAGTATGGAAAGAATCCTGGAGAAAAGGTGGCTGCACAGGGCCTCAGCGCTGGCTGGTGGCTCCTGGGCTCCTTCCTCCGCCCAAATCCTTTTCTGGGGTCTCGGGTTCACGCCCCCTGTTCCTTGCAGGTGTCACAGGAGAGCATTCTCAACAAAATGACCAGCTCCAACTTGGCCTGCGTCTTCGGGCTGAACCTGATCTGGCCGTCCCAGGGCACATCCTCGCTGAGCGCCCTCCTGCCACTGAACCTGTTCACCGAGCTGCTGATCGAGTACTACGAGACCATCTTCAGTGGCCACGAGGGCCCCGGGGAGCGAGCCCTGGGCCCCGCGGACGCCGGCGGACAGGGCAGCCACCACATCAGAGGGTGTGGGGGCACGGATCCGCCCCAGCCCTCACCGGGCCTGTCCAGCCTGCGCGTCCCCTGAGGGCAGCTGAGTCACCTCTCTTGCTGCACATACTCTGTCCAGGTCTATGCAGCTCGCTGTGCCTCAGTGTGGGTTTTTGCAAACTTGCTCTGTGAAAGTAACCTGCATTAAATGAACTCAGACCCTCTGGCAGACATGTCCTGCTTCCGATTCTAGACTCTTCCCGTGGATCCTGCGCTGGGGCTAGAATAAAAGAATGTGTAAAAGGATTCCTTTGTGTTATCACCCAGTGTGGCCTAACTGAAGATGGAGTTTGTGGGTGAAGGTTGTGTCGTGGTCAGGGCTGCTCCACGGTGCCGTGTCACGAGCCACCCAGGCCCAGGCGCTCCCCGGGACTGCTCCGGGAGCCCAGTGCCTGTGTGAGCTTCTCGACCCTGTGCAAGGCCCAAGACAAGCCACCTTGAAGGAGGAGAGCTTTGTTCTCGCTCGTCCATGGCCCCTTGGTGCCCAAGGGGACACAGCAAGGCCGAGGCTTGGAACAGGACCTGGTTGTCCTGGAGGCCAGGGAGCAGGAGGGTTCAGAAGGGGGCATGTCCGACAGCCCCTGTCAGGCCATGCCCCAGTAGCCCCCTTCCTCCCCGGAGGCCTCACCTCCTGAGGTTCCGTCACTACTGCAGGTGGAGGCCAGGCCTTCACCATACGGGTCTTGGGGACATGAAAGACCAAACACAGCTGTGGCTCAGTTGACTTTTAAGGGTTAGCCTGTGTGTCCAGGCTGGGCCTGCCTGGGAGACATAGCCCCTGCACTGTCACCTGCACCTGGCAGCCACACAGTGTGTCCTCCTAGCAGAGGCAAAAGAACATGCACCAGAGCCAAGGGGAGCTCACTCTGGCCCAGGCTGAGTCCTGGCTCAAAAAAAAACGCAAAAGCCCGCCGGGAGGGTGTGGCCCTGGGCATGAAGCAGCTGGTCCACACAGGGCCCAGGACATGCTGGGCTGCACCACCTCGGAGTGCCCCACAGGGTCAACAGACGGGCTCTTCATGTTCCCCTGAGATGTGGTACAGAACGAAGTGACGCCTGGGTTCCACGTTCCAACAGGAAGTCCCTGGTGGTGTCCTGATGGGGCCCACCCAGGTCACCCGCCCACCCTGGACCTGTCCTGTGGCCAGGGAGTACTCTCACGGGTGAGGCCTGAGTCCCATGGCCAGCCTGGGGCTGGGGTGAAGCCCTGGCCAGATGCAGTGAGGGGGGAACAGGTTCCTGCTTTGCTCACTGTCACCAGACCGCTCCCCCCATTTGTCTCTTTCACAGGGAGGAGCAGATGCTGAGAGAAAAGGATAATGTCCACTGCAGAGGCACTGCTTCTGATGTGTAGTGGCCCCTGTGCCCCTCGCAGCCTTGGGGTCACGTGCAGGGCTCTGGTCTGGAACACGGAGGCGCTTGCTGCACACTAACCCGCCCGCACCCCACTTCTGGGCCGTATTTTCTATACGGCCTGTGTTGCCCCTCCAGAAGGGACCAGGTGACTCCCAGGCTGCTCCCAGCGCCCGTCACAGGTAGCACCTGGCACATGAAGACAGCCCTGATCCGCAGACCAGGGTGTGACCTGGAGCTTCTGCAGCACAGGGGCTGTCCTGGATCCAGGCACGGCGCAGAGCGCTGAGGCCGAGCTGCTTGGCTGCTCAGGACAGGATCCCACAGCTTGGCAAAGACGGGGCTGGGCTCCGGATGCTGGAAGCGTTGGCCTGGCCCGTCGTTGGACTGCTCACTCAACTGTTCTTCCTCCAGGGACACAGGACAGCTCGCTGGGTCCCACCCGTGGGATTCAGGTGACACAGCGCCACAGCTGGCAAGTAGATGGCCACAAGGGGCCCAGCTGTGGGCCTAGAGGGCAGCTGGCCTTCACACAAGCCTGTGAGCCACGCGGCTTCCCAGCAAGGGGTTCTCTTTATTGAGGACCCCAGTAAGTGGCACCCCTCTTCCCTGCCGGCAGTGGTGAGCAGTGCCCTGGGACTGAAGGCCTCTGCCAACTGGTTACCCCGGTAACCAGCCCTAGTTACCCCGGTAACCAGCCCTGGCCCTGAGGATGGGCTCACCTGACCGCACCAGTGTCCTCCCCTAGACAGGCCACCTAGAATGTCCCCTCCTGCCCCTGAGGGTGGGAGTCTAGGACCAACTCCCCTCCCGCAGGGACACAGAGTAGGTTTTTGTCCACTCCAGACTCTTATTCCTAACTCACACATGGGGACTCCATGGCCCCACGGGTAACACGGCTGGTGACTGGCAGTACCAGGATTGAACAGTGCCATTTTTTGCTGTGCTACTTTGGAGGCCCAGCCTCAGCCTTCCCAGGGATTGAACTCAGGCCCTTGCGCTTGCCCGGCAAGCGCTTATTCCACTGAGCCATCTCCCCAGCCCACCCACCACAATATCTAAGCCAGAATTGTTCGCCTTATGCACAATCTCCAGGCAAGGATGAGGAGTCAGTGCCCCCATGTGGACAGGGAAGGGCGATCCACCGCCCAACTGCATCTTGGGACTTTTCCTGGCTGTCTGAGAACCACCTAGATCTCAGGCCTCCCCAGTGGCTGGCTTCACTCTCAGAGCCATCAGGCCCTCTGGGGCAACCTCTGCTGCGGCTGCAGGGGCAGGGTGGAGGGCAGCCATCTGCACATGTCCCTGGAGGTGGAGGTAGCTGGGCTGCAGCCTCCCTGGGCACTCTCTGACAGGCTCTGGCCACTGCTCACCAGCTGGACACTTGGACTGTGGCCTCACTGTCCCAGGGTTCCAGGGACAGCTGCAGAGGACCCAGCCTCGAGCCCTGGGCAGTAGGAGGTGCACCAGCCAGCTGGCCTCAGCAGTGGCTTTGAGCCTTCTCTTCCCCCGGCCCTTCGCTGCTCCTTCCAGCCTGGGGTCTTGTCACTGTTGCCCCCTGCTTCTCTCCTCACCCATGGGTCCCTCCTGTCACCTTTAACAGACTCCGTTGTGGCTTTTCTGTCCTTTCTAGCTCTGTGGCTTACACCCACCCAGGCCAGAGCGGATCCCTTATACTTCTTAAAACCCGACCATTCATTTCTTTTCTATTCTGCTACAAAGACTTTGTCTTTGTTTCCTTCTTTCTTTGTCCCTTCCTTTCATTCTTCCTTACTTTTTAACCCCACCCAGTACCTCTGACCATGCCCTCAACAGCCAGGCTCAAGGGAGCAGCCCAGGGTGAGCCCCAAGGCCACCAGTCACCAGCCACCACCACCGGAGTCCCTGGCCACACCTCCAGGAGAGCGGCCACGGGCAGCTGCAGGAAGGCAGCTGTGCCCTCACAATTCAGATCAGCCCCATAGGCCCCAGAGTTCTGCTGCAAGGAAAAAAAATAAAAGGGGAGAGAAATAAAAATGACGGCTCCCTTAAGAGAGAACCATTGTGGGCACCAGAATTAAGTGACATTAAATCAAATCTTATGCATTATGCAGAGAGGGCTACAGCAAAATGCACGTCTGTGAAATATATGTTTCAATTTTTCCGACTCTGAGCGGTGGCCCCAAGATGCTCTCCCGTGGCTTCTCGGATGACAGTTTCCCTTTTGCCCACGATCCCCGTGGAATCCCAGTGCTGCAGAGCCTCGCCACACCGGCTAGAGCAAAGCACAATTTCACGATCCCCGTGGAATCCCAGTGCTGCAGAGCCTCGCCACCCCGGCTAGAGCAAAGCACAATTTCCCAGTCACTTCCACGTGGAGAGAAAGCGGGGCCGGCGGTGGTGTGTAGGAAGCACACTGAGGCATTCAGCTTTTGACAAGGCAACGCAACACCCCGACGGGGACTCCAGGCTGTCGCCATTGACAGGACGCATGGATAAATGGTCCAAGCGCACTTGTGCAGACATGACGGATTTTCAGCGACTCTCGAGATCAGGCAGGCTGCCCAGAACGTGGACCTGACATCCACAGTGAGCTGCTGAGACCTGTCCAGACCGGAAAGAGTCCCTTGCAGGTGGGCAGCGGGCGGCCCTGAAGACAGCCGGGCACCTGTTCTAGGTGCTCCTCACCAACAAGTCCTTCAGCCCGCGGGGAGGTCATGGTCAGAGGCTCTGCGTGAGCTCCTGTCCGGCGTGGGAGCCACGC